ACGACACTATACACGTCAAATCATCAATCACATGCTTTGGTGATTCATTGATAAGCTTTTGCCACCCCCAAGGACTCAGCATGAGGTCCTCGTGGCAATCATGTTAATAATGCCGCAAGATGTCGGCCAGCCATTAGCCTTCGCCATTAGGACTTCCAATTTACCTTATTCCCTTGCTCCTTTTCCCTTTTCCCTTTTCCCGGGCAATTAGTTTAAAGAGCTTTAAAGCAACAGCGGTACAGCAGCGCAAACAACAATAAAAACTGCCAAATGAAAACCAGAGAATGGGAATTTGTTTATTTTGATTTTTGGAAATCAATTTTGAATTTGTTGTTTATTTTTGATGTGGTTATCCGGCCAGCAGCCATTGGCGTGTAAACAAATCGGACGCTTTTTTCGCAGATGCCACGAACAGACAGGCTCTGTTTTTTGTGTGTGCTCCGCAAAATAAATATAAAAACTATATAAAAGGCAAATATTCATGCGGAAAATATATATAATACCACGAAAATGTGTGTGTTTGCGCCATTAGTGTCACAAGTGTAATTGTTTTTTAATCGCATTGATAGCGGCCGCCAGCACAGCAAATTCCACACACGAAATTATTTCGAGTGTGTGCTAAAACCACTTGAAAAACGCCAAGAGCTTTGAAAGTGACCCAAAAAAACAAAAAACCCGCCGAGAGTGCTCGTGTGCAAGTGGGTGTGCGCTAATGCTCATAAACAAACAAAGACAAAGAATAAATGGGTGTCGCGGGGGCGGAAGTGGGAAGCATTCGACTTAAGCGGTCTACTCACACAACAAACTAAAATGCTGCACACACCAAAATGGCGATAAAAAATTTACATAATAGCTGAAGAAAAAACATGAAAGCAAAATAGTGGGAAACGTGGAAATGAGGAAATGAGGAAAGCGCATAAGTGACTGGCAAATGGCAAGTGGCACTCGAAAATGGAAAACCCAGCGGAGAAATGGAGGAAATTGAGTGACCAAAGCTGAGAATGACATAAGGGGTTAAGCCAGCTTGACACCATTTAATGGAAATCGGTTATCACCACCTGACGTAAATAAATAGAAATGTATTTTTAAGTATCTTTATAAATGAAGCATTTTTGAGAATTTGTTCGGTACCTATAAATAGTTTTCAAATAAGTTATTATTTCTTCTCCACCATAAAAATGTACCCTTTAATAGAGTTACTGGGTTAAATCTTTTTTCTGTTAGTATCTAAACAAATCTGCTACTAAATTATGAAAGCCAAATTACTCAGTAGCTCTTAGCAACTTCTTGAAGTGATTTAAAGACCATGGTAACGGAGACAGCAAAGTAAATCCGTTTGTAATCGAAGTCGCCTCTAATGGCTCCACTTTGCACTGTTCTGCTAATGGTGCCCTCACTTAGTTTTCTTGGCTTCTGTGCTCAAGACAAGGACCATTGCAAAATGCATTATATCAGTTTTGCCCGGGGCCCGCATCCCAGCTTATATATCCTTGTACATCCTGTGCATATATAGAGCAACCATATAGAGAGCAGTTCCCAGCAGCCCGGGGCTGGATTTTAATAAGCAAACGAACGGGGATGAACACAACGACGACCATCAGTGTAAAACGTGCCACAAGCACCACAATGTAAGATTTGATAAAAAGCCATAAAAAGCAGAGCTGGCAAAACTTAAGGCCAAGACTATAAAATAATAATGAAGTCAATTTCAATGATGTTGCTGTGGCCAAAACAACAAAGCTTAACTCGATCCGTTGCTTCCGCAGCCCATTTTGCCCCTGACCCTGGAAAACGTTTTCGTTATATTGTTATTATTGCTGCTTTGGACAGCAAAGGGCAAACTGGTTGGAAAAAAAGCAAACAAACAAACAAAAGCGAAAGCAAAGGCAAAGGCAAAAGCCTCACGTCACATCATTTCCTGCAGCGATTTTCGTGTCTTGCATTTGACGTTGCCTTAAAATGTTCCTCTTTTTATGGCAATTAGCTTATGATTTTCAGTGTTATTGCCCTGGCAACAGCAATCGATGCAAAACAGCTGCCCACACCCGCGGATAGTTTATTTAATGGCACACGTATGTAATTTATGCGGACAGAATGTAAACAACTTTGTCATTAAATGGGTAATGGACTAGCTGGTAAAATGGGCAAAAAAGTTTCTTGCAAGTATTGCCTAAGCTGTCATTTTTCCAACTTGGTTTTCCTTTGCATTGCCAGCGAATTCAGCAAACTTTTTTGCTGGACCGACCACTTAAAACTTGACCACTTAAAAGTTGCCCGGAATGCATAATAGCATTTAAAACCTTTGACCAGACCAGCTGGTGTCGCCCTACAGAATATCACTTCATTCCCCAGGGACAACAACCTCCTGGCCCATTAACAAGTGTCTTGTAACGCCAGGTATGCGTTCAATTACAATCACTAATTCGCAGCTAATCTGGTAGCATGTTTCCGCTCTAATTGTTCAGTGTTTTCGGGGGCTATAATAGAATGGGGAAATAGGAAGATGGCAAAGGGAAAGTTGGGCTGCTCTTTTTGCACACCTTTTTGCGCCAAATCAAAACATACTCCTTGAGTGCGTAAGCGTGTTAGTGTCAAGCGGCTTATCTATTATCATTTCGTTGAATTTTGAATGGGCTGGGTGAGAGCAAAGTAAACCTTTGTCTGTCGTTCGTCTGGGGCTTCATTGCGCTTGATTTCTTCTGCCCCCAACAGGCAAACACATCCACCCCTCCACCCACACCTTTCCGTTCAGTCATTCCGACCACACAGCAAAATAGCTCTTTGTTCGTCCTTCGTTACTCAGGAGGAACTCTTTGGGCTTCCTCGTCCTAGCGTTATAATGCCTTGGCTCTGGCCGAAATCATATGAGTGCTGCACTGGGCGGAAAATGTTCTTAAAGTCTTAAAATCTGAAATATAATAGCTTGAAAATGAAAGGGCCGTTTAAATGATCATTTTGGATAAGATTGCGCTTTGCTATCAATCCGAAATCTCTAAAAAGGCAACTCCTTAAAGAAATTTGTCTTTCAAATTTCAAAAAAGGAGTCGTTCTCTACTCAATTTTGCCATGCATACATAAATTACCCTTTTCAGCTTATGATAAATTTACTATAACTGATCTTCTGATTAAAATATTACTTTTATCTTGCCTAGACTTTAAGCACCCTTTCAAAAAAAACCATTTAAAACCTTAAGCTATTGTGAGGATTTCATTTCAAGTGTAGACACTCAAACAATGAAGCTGTGAGAGACGTTCCCTCATCACATTTTCGAGCTGTAGGTGCAAGGACGGACTTTCAGGCAGCGTGCCGACGACAGGATGTGGTCACAGGATGCGAGCAGCGTGCCCAAGGACACGGAGCTGCAGTCGAGTGACCAACCCAATGACTGACACCACTGTAAACAGCCCGAGTGCCTGGGGAGACGGGTCCTAGGTAAACACAGTGCCGGCCACATAATGAACTGACTGCTGGGTATGTCTTGTGCACCTGGCCACGCCCCATTGCCCCCACGACCCATCGTCCTTGCCCATCCCACATCGCACCTGTTGATGGGAACTCCTACTGCCTGTCGCATAAAAGCGAGCAACACATTTTGCACATTTACCAAGTTTATGCAATTCACACAAGCCCGTCAACAGTCACACGTCTCGTTGGGTACCCTTTTACTGCTTTACCCGTTTTTGCCCATTTTAGAACCTCTTTAAGCCATTTAAATGCCCTACTTCCCGGCCTCACCTAGCCGTTCTGCCGCCCCTATGCACACACTGTGCTGACCACAAGCGTTTCGGTCTGAATAATTGACCAACAGACAAAAGCAGCAAAAAAATATATGTATGTGCACAAAAAAGGCGAAAAGGCAAGGGGAACCACAGCAAAGCGAAGCCGGACAAGGACTGCGAAAACAAATGAATAAACAAAATTTATGAAGCGCAACCACAGAGTTAAGCGTTGTCCAGCTCGTGATTTAAGGTTGGACAGCATCGGGGAGCGGGGAATACGTTAAAACCTTTCCACATATCACCGTTGAGTTTAAGGCTGTTCCTAAACAGAACACCGTAGTTACCAACCAAACTCATCAAAATTGTTCAGCAATGTGTAACAGGAATTTGGTTGGCACACTTGGTTTGGTTACCTTTGACACATTTTAATTGGAATTTTAGGTAATTTAATACTCGAAAAAAGTATAAAATACTACCCACAATTATCGCAAGGCAATTTATTTTTTCGTTTAATTAAAGTGCAAACAAAAGAATGCTTTTCTATCAACATGTCGAAAAGCTAAAAGTAAAGATACAATATTATGCAACACTTTTATATCGAATGTATACTTTGAAATGCAAAAACATAGAACTTGTTATTAAATTGTTAGTATAGGGTCCCTAGTAGCGTTGAATTTCACCAGGTAAATTGAATTTGTTCATCTAACAATGGCATAAAGCAACAATAAAATCTTCCAAATGTATTTCTAAGAAAATAATAATAAATTGAAGGGCTTCTCACTCACGCAGAGAAACTAAAATCATCGAAATAGTCCATCATGGTGTACAAATATTGCAGGTAAACATATTTATATCTCATATTCGAGTCCGGTGATAGCAAATGCTAAACCGAAGAGGACTTGTGCCAGGCACGTAACTAATTTATTTATGTATTTCTTAGTCGCCGCATTCACACAAAGGACCCTCGATCTGCCACTTTTTCCATGTCCTGCCCACAGGCACATTAGCCGCAACGGATGTTGGCCTTTTCATGCTCAGTTGGGCACAAAGGAGCGGGGTTTTGGCCAACAGAAAGGAATGTTTTTTGGGCAAACAAGTGGGCTGTCGACCAATACTGACCGTCGACCGAACAGAAATGTCAATAAATTCATATGAAGTTATCTCTTCCAGACAGCTTAATGCGTATTTTTATGGCCTAATCTAGAGTCAAATTTTTCTGGCGCTTCGCTCGAGTGGATTCCAAATCCCAAATGGCTCCACAGTCAAATGCACGGACTCACCTCGTTCAGTTCAATCTGCAAAGAAAGGAAGGCAAAAAAAGGGGTGGGGTTCAGTCATTGGGTTATTAGAGAGTGCCAAACATCAGACTTACTTGGCCGGAGTATCTATGGCAACTATCCCACATATGCTGACTGCTGCTGTCGGCCATTTGATGAACCCAATAAAGCCGACACGAAGTGCCACTCAGGCCCAAAATGACAGCCGAAATGCTAAATAAAATTGAAGGGCCCCAGGCCTTTCGCCAAAGAATCTTGTATCGAATTCCGAATCTCGGCGACCCGGGATGGTACTGCACATAAAAATGATTAACGCCGGCCTGGAATAGTGGAAGTGGGTCGAAGTGCCGTGTTCGCCGGCTGACAGCAGTCATTGACATGGATATACTATATGTTTGCCTAGTCACCACTCACCTGCCTCTACCATGTTTATTTTAAGCCCCCGAAATACATCGCTAAATCTGCCTCTGCAATCGCATTGCATTTCGGCTGTTGCATTATTTATCGTATTTCGTGCTTTATTGTTTATGCCCTGGCATACGTGATTTTGCATAAATTCCCACGCCCCTCACACGCTCCCCTCTTTCCCATCCCACGTTAAGCTTAGCTTCCGTTTTCTTTCCCGTATTTCCTATATATTTTTTCACTCCGGATTTTACATTCGCCATGCCGCGCACATGGAAATCGCTTGGGCCCCAGCCACGAAGTACTTTTATTATTTATGCCTCGGCCGCCACAGTAGACAAAAATTGCTCGAATAAATGTACTGAAAACGAAAGGCGATAATAAATAAACGGGAGCCCAATAAAGATTGAGCGATACTTTCGAGACTTTGCAATTAAAGAGCCAACTTTTACGTATAATCTTTAAATGCCATTGCCGCAGGGATTTTAAATGAGTTGGCGGAAAATGGCTCAGCATATGCACAAATTTATGACCCATATATCTTTAAGGTAAAACTGGATTTCAAATGTTGTATGACTTTAAAAATTTGTTGTTGTTAATATTCATTAGAATTAATGGCATCTGATTTAATTGTTACCCTTTTCCAATTTAAAGGAATCGATTTTAAATTGTAATTTATAGTGAACCATTAATTCATGCATTGAAGCAACTGACCAAATATTTTAAAACCAGTGACTTTGTTATACTTATAAGAACCAACTCATATCAAACTTCTTACAGATTTCTACGACACTTTGATAAAAAAACGTGGTATTTAAGGCTTTATTCTGCTCGAAGGGAACTAAAAAACGCACAGGCATACAAAAAAAGATATCAACATTTTCTGACAGCTAGAAAATTCTTTTGCAACATACTTTTATCTTTGTTTAAACAACGCACTCTATTTTAAGCCTTTATCAGAGCTCTAAAAATCAATGAATGAATTTTGGTGGAACTTTTTCACTTCGGTGCCATCAATATTAATAGCCTTTCTTATTGTTATTGATAGTGAACTTGATTGACCCATTATGATTTCTTGGGTTAATGTATTTCTTGTTCGGAAGTTGTTTAAGATCACGTCATTGACCTTTAAGAAGCGTTAAATTAGCACACAATTCAGATTCGAACGTCGCCGAGGGTTAAGCAGGTTATCCAGTGTTCGGACAGTTGTAGTGGCCACATTTTCGGGTGTTGACTGGGCCAAATTAAATAACATACGCAGCGCCTAAACGCACAGGACACACAGAAGGTGTGTGGGGTTAAGGTCCCTGGATGTGGGCGTAACGGGGGCTGTCTGCCATGTTTATCAACGCATAAATACTAAAGCAAATGTACTGTTACCTCGTATTTTCCACACAAAGTGTGAATGGAAACAGGTGAGACTGGAGGGTGTGTGTAAGTTACTGTATTAGTTTGACTTTAACCACCACATCCACAGAAAAGGAAAGCTTTACTTAAAGACCGACAGAGAAGTAGAGGAAAAACCTCAATGCTAAAACATTACGTAATCTAAGACGCGACCAAAGTGAAGGTAGAAACGCTGCGCTGGCTAACTGGAAAATTGTGTAAATAAACAGTATTAAATTTTCCGCTTGACGGCTAATAGAACGGCGGACGGACACGCAGCCCCAGTTGTTGCCGCACAGTATCGATTCCGCCGTACTCAGCCGCCCCCCGAACTCGAGCTCTCGAGGGGACAAGAGTGCCAGATGATGGAGCCAAACTCTACTCCTAACTAAATTTACAGCAACTTAAGCCATAAAAATTGAAACGATAGCCGTAAAAATAAGGCTACATTGGTGGCCTGCACTAGGCAAAAATTTAACAAATACTTATTTTTATCTTGTTAAACTTTTTTAAAGCTTTTACAATATTTAACGTTTCCTTAGATAAGAATAGTATGCTTATTTATTATGTTTTCTTTTTTCTTAGATGAGTCATGTTCTTAAACAATTTTTTTTTTACAAAAATATACACTTTTTCAAATTCAGCGCAAGTAGTAGCGCTGCTTTCTTTTACAAAATACAATTAATTTTTTATATTTTCATATAATTCCTATGACAGTTAGCTACACAGAAATAATTGGGAAGAAGTTTTCTAAAAATAAACACCAAATTTTCCAAGTGTAGCAACCGCCACTCCTGCACTATCTATATATTTCAGCTTGCTATCTGCTACCCAGCAGGTCTTTGGGGGATGGGGTCTTTTGGAGAGGCGTGGCAACTGCTGATGCTGCGTCTTGGTTGCGCGCCACTTAACGCCAGGTCTCGTTCCAATTTTCCCACTTCCGTTCCCATGCAAAAGTTCATTTGAGGGGCCAACAGTTTTCTTTTCCTTTCGCTTTTCCTCTTTGTTTTCCTACGAGGACCGGGCATTTTGGGTAACTTTTCATGGAACAGAGCAGGCGAAAAAGTTTTCCTCTGTGTGACTACGAGGTCGAGTTGCCAGATGAGGCAGCATATCCCGTACTCTCAACTCTCAAACTCTTTTTCGCAAGTGACGTGAGGAGGCGTTCGGTGCTGCGTCTTAATTTGCCCTAGGTGCTTGAACAACATAGCAAACCATATTTCACAGAGAACTCTCTAAGGCAAAAACACTTTGAAACGGAGTTAAGCATTTGTCAGCGTCAAAAATAATACTGGATTTTCGGATCAGGGAGGGATCAAAAAATTCACATCTAAAATATAAACGAATATGAGATAATATTCAGCTACAAAAATATAACAAGATTAGAGGGGGAATTTACTGATTTAAAAACTAAATTATGCTGATTTATTTATTACACATTTTATTTTCTTATAATATCTCGGAATTATCTAGGAAATGTATTAACTTCCATTTGAAAATAAATACCTTGCTTTTGGAAAATACTTAATACTGTTCATTTTCAAACCTCAATTCTTTGGAATAATGTAAATTATTCAATTGTTAAAGATGCTTATTTCTTTCATTTGGTTTCTGGAAATCTAATCCGCTTTAAGCACTGTTCACTGTGGCACATAAATTTAAATCAGGCATCTTGTCCAATTTTTGCAGCTTTTAGGCGTACACTGTGCAGGCGCACATACACAGAGGCAGGGTGAAAGTGTTCTTCTCCTCCCACCCACACATACACACACGCTCACGCCCACAAAAACACACACTCCTCAACGGCAAGCTCTTCAGACACGCATATGCAGGGACTTAGTTTTAACCCGGGGCTATCAAATCTTGTAGCTGACATTTATGCGAGTTTAAGTTCTATTAACGTACTCGCAACTCGTCCTCGCCCACAACTCTCTACTTCCGTGCCTGTTTCCTTTGCCCAACACTTGGACCATTTGCAAAAGTGTGTGTAGCAGTGTGTGGGAGGGGAGCAGTGTGTGTGCGTGTTGACATTGATTGCGTGCGTGTTGCTGACAGTTGTCCGTACAAGCTTAATGGCAGTGCGATTTTAATTGAATAATATTCAGCCCATGAGCCGAACCACAAGCCTCCCTCCCCTCGAAGTCCTGGTAGTCCTTTCTTCCTTCGTACTCTCCCACCCACCCTCCAAGATAAACAATGACGATCCCACAACTTGGGGGTCATAGGGGGTCCCTGCATATGACATGGGCCATATTTGCTTTGGCTCAGACCCAGTTTCCCCCATGCTCTGTTCTGCTTTCTTGGCCACCACTGGCCGTGTCCCTGCTGGTCAAGATTTACTAGCGCCATAATTGTCAATGGGCCATTAGGACGATGTGCTGCCCCCTTCGGTTTTGCCAATCACTCAGCCGTAAGCTTCAGAGATGACAGCGTGATAGAAATTTTTATTATTACCTTGGTACACAAGGAATAAACTGTGCATTATTTGGCTATCAATAAAGATGTTTAATGGTTCAATATACTTTTATAGATTCACGGAGCTCAGAAGTCTTTAAGAAAGCCATACATTTCAGTCCAGGAAAAGAAATAAATCATTTGATTAAAATTTAAATGCATAGATAAGTGGATGGATGGAAATATTAAATCCATTTTTAAATCTAATTAAAGAAATATTTCCCAAAGCTTATGTTCTAACCTATGAAATAGTTCAGTTTTCTATTATTATTTCTATACATAAATAAAACATATTAAAAAATAATTTAGTTTTTTCTATAAAACCCAAATGCCAAATTTTGTCTAATTTAAACATAAATAAATCTCAACGGAAGAGTTCCCCATTTTAAGCAATTTTTTGACCGTGTACAGTCATGGGAGGACTACCCCTAAGTCGAATCACAACTTTTGCTGCGGTCACGCACTCATCTTTGATTCGTCGATGATTATTAAGTTGGTTGGACAGAACGGGCCACATATTTTTATTGACATCGGAGGCAAACAAAGCGGAAGTCATCTCCATCCCGATTCCATTATAACATTTTGGAAGCGAGGGGGAATTATGCTCGCATGAAAAATCGATAAATTATTGTATTTATTGTATACATAGCTCATATTATTATGAATTACTGCCGGACCAGCGACTTCGAGCTGACAGGTCATGCGTTAAAGTTGACTCTGACGCCTGGACTCAGGCATTTCAATTAAAGCAAATATTTGTGATGTTTGTGTTT